CCCAAGTTCCAGGTGACACTCTGGGGACCCAGGCTTATATGGGGGGAATCTAGACTGTTAGGCAGAAACTCAGGGGAGCCGCAAATGGCAGAAATCTGGAGGCACACGTGTGAGTGTGCAAAGAGAGGACTGACTGCAGAATGCCACTGGCTTTCTCTAGTGGCTGGGAAACGGAAGCTCCCCCACTACGCTGAGCTCCAATTCCTACTTCACTGAACCCCAGCTCTGGGTTAGACCCTGGGGACCCAGGCTTATACTGGGGCATCTGGATTATCAGGCGGAAACTCAGGGGAGCTTTGAAAGGCAGAAGTCTGGAGGCACAAGCGTGTAGAGAGGACCTATCTGAATGCCATTGGCTTTCTCTAGTGGGTGGGAAACAGAAGCTCCCCACTATGCTGAACTCCAGTTCTGTGTGAGAATCTTGAAATCCAGATTCATTGGTGGAGGAACTGGACTGTCTGGCAGCAGGTGACACTTGAAGGCAGCTTACATTTAGAGGTGCTTTCAGCAATTACCACGGAACACTGAGACCCAGGGGCCACTTAGGGCACCGCTGACAGAAAGCCAAGGCTGTCTTCTCAGCCTTGAGACTCTGCCCCCTCCAAACTGAGCACAGAGGCTTTTGTAAGTATTGTCTCATAAGTGTTTCTCCAGCACAGAAGTTCTCCCAGCATAGACACAGCTGATCCTCACAGCCAATTGGCCTGGAGGTCAATTCCTCCCAGTGATACCAACAACAGTCAAGGCTTAACAACAACAAAACTGTGCACACAGCCCACTAAGGGGTGCCCCAAGAGTGTCCACTTTAGGTAACTGGAGAGGCTGCGCCACTGGGGCCTATAGGAAACCTAGCACACAAGCCACTCTATCAACTCAGGGAAGCAGCCAAAATGTGGAGACAAAGAAATAGGTCACAAATAACAGAAATGGAGGAAAGCAAACTACAGGATATAGAGTTCAAGACCACAGTTATAAGTTTACTTATGAATTTCCTAGAAAACGCCAATAAGTTTAGTGAGACCCTCAAGGATATGAAAAAGGGCTAAATAGAAATTAAACATACACTGACTGAAATAAAAAAAAATATTATACAGAGACCCAACAGCAGATTAGAGGAACGCAAGAATCAAGTCAAAGATTTCAAATACAAAGAAGCAAAAAAAATACTCAATTGGAAAAGCAAAAAGCAAAAAGAATTCAAAAAGTTGAAGATAGCGTAAGAAGCCTCTGGGACAACTTCAAGCATACCAAAATCAGAATAATGGGGGTGTCAGAAGAAGAGAGAGAGAAAGATACTGAAAAGATATTTGAAGAAATAATGACAGAAAACTTCCCCCACCTGGTGAAAGAAATAGACTTACAAGTACTGGAAGGGCACAGAACCCCAAAACAAAAAGAATCCAAAGAGGCCCATACCAAGACACATTATAATTAAAATGCCAAGGGAAAAAGACAGACAGAATATTAAAGCAGCAAGATAGAAACAGTTAATTACCTAAAAGGGAGCACCCATACAATTGTCAGCTGATTTCTCAACAGAAACTATGCAGGCCAGAAGGGAGTGGCAAGAAATATTCAAAGTGATGAATAGAAGAACCTACAACCAAGATTACTCTACCCAGCAAAGCTATCATTCAGAATTGAAGGTCAGATAAAGAGCTTCACAGATAAGAAAAAGCTAAAGGAGTTCATCACCACCAAACTGGTATTATATGAAATGCTGAAAGGTATTCTTTATGAAGAAGTAGAAAAAGGTAAAGATAAAAATTATGCACAAAAATACATATCTATCAACAAGTGAATCTAAAAATCAAGTGAATTAAAAATCTGATGAATAGAATACACTGGTGAATATAATAGAATTAGGGGCATAGAAAGGGAGTGGACTGACAGTTCTCAAGAGGAAAGGAGTGTGAGGTGTACAGGAAGAGGCTGGTCAAAAATCGTACACCTATGGATGAGTACAGTGTGGGGGAGGTATGAATACAGGGTGAGATGGGAACAGGGTAGAGGAGAGTTATGAGGGGGAAAAAGAGGAACAATTGTAGTAATCTGAACAATAAATATTTTTTTAATGAACAAAATGGATTAGGAAACAAAAGTAGGTGTTAAATGTACAGATCTCTTAGAATAAAAAACAAAGGTATAACACAATCACCCACCATTCACAAAAATTAAGTCGAAACAGCTGAGACTTAAATGTACAAGTGACAAAATAAAAGGTAAATTGGATTTCAATAAAATTTAATCTTTTGGTCTTCAAATGACAGTGAAAAAACAGCCCACATTATGAGAGGAAATTTTAAAAATCTATCTATTAAGGAACTTTTGTCCAGAATATATAAGATCTTTTTCTATTCATTAATAAACTCAAATAACCCAATTATAAAATGGGCAACATAATTGAATTGACATGTTTACAAAGAAGATAAGAAACGAACTGAGCTTGCATAGAAAAATGCCAGAATAACAAACAATCTCTTGGATTCTTAACTAAAATATTTAAGAACAGCAGGTCAGTGAACATTTTCATTTTTTCCTATTTACACTTTTTGATTAGGCTATTTTTTCTTCTTTGTACTGAGATTGAGCTTTTAATTTGTGGCATTTGCAAAGGTTACTCCCCTGAATATGTGTAGTAACTTAATCCTCAAAAGTAAAAAATGCCATTTTTTTGGTGTTCTGTATTGATCCTGAACTTAGTTTCATTTGTATTTGGAATGCTGGATTAGTTGTGCAGTTCTCTTAAAAAGGGAAATTTATTTTTTTATCTAAAAATATTAATATGGATTCATTTGTCTCTGTACTTATAATGTTTGTTGTATTTCAGATACCATTTAAGAATATACTTCCTATTTCTGGTGAGAAGTTGGGAACTTTAAAATAGAAGTTATTAGAATGAAAAGGAATGCAAGTATTGTCTCATAAGTGTTTCTCCAGCACAGAAGTTCTCCCAGCATAGACACTGCTGATCCTCACAGTGAGGGGCAAGCAGTCCCATGCAGTGCCCTCACAGAGAGCAGATGTCAGGGCCCTGCCTGCCTCTGGCTCTGGTGGCTAAAGGCAAGCAGCCCCTCACACAGAGCAGACACCAGGGCCTGCGGTGTCATCAAACAGGCAGGTCTGCAGAGAGCAGAGAGCCATGGGGAGCAGGCCTAAGCAGTCAGCAGAACATCCCCAGAGGTCTCCCAGATTGGAGAGGGTACAGGTCTGGCCGAGGGAAGCCCCTCCCCCCCCATGCATAATTTTATGCACTGGGCCCCTAGTTGCTATTATAAAAAAGACAAGATGTAATTGCTGCTAAGGATGTGGAGGAAAGGGATTACTTGTGCATTGTTGGAATGTAAATTGGTGTAGCCTCTATAAAACACAGTATGGAAGCTCCTCAAGAAATGAGAAAGTAGAACTACCTTATTATCTAGCAAGTCAACTTTTGGCTATATATCTAAAGAAAATGAAATTACAATGCTGAAGAGATATCTGCACACATACTTATGGCAATACTGTATGAAATATGCAAGATATGGAAACAATCTAAGTGTCTATTGACAAATGAATGAAAAAAATATGATATACAGAATATTTAAAATGTGACACACACACACACACGCACACACACACACACAAAATAGAACTATTCAGCCACAGAAATGAAGGAAATACTGCTATTTGCAACAGCATAGATGGACCTTGTGGGAATTATACTAAGTGAAATAAATCAGATAAAGACAAACACTGTATGATATCACTGATATATGGAATCTAAACAAAACAAACTCACGAAAAAAAAAAAAAAGGTGAATTCGTGATTGCCAGAGGTGGGGGTGGGCTGGGAAATTGGGTGAAAGTGGTTCAAAGTTATAAACACTCAGTCATAACGAAGTACTGTTAATGTTATGTACAACATAATAAATGAAGTTAATGCTGTATAGTATTGAAATGGGAAACTTGGACTGGAAATGCACGGTGTTCCCTTGAGCAGCATGGTTCCTGTGCTCTTTTCTGGTGGAGTCAAAGAATGAAACTAAGGAGGAAAAGTGGTACAGCAAAGGTGGAAATTTATTGAGAAACAAGCACAGACTCCCATGTGGGGAGAGGGAAAGAGTTCCAGTGAGTCCTTTTTTCCTAAGGTTTATAAAGGCTGCAGATCTTTGTGCCTTGATATCCTCTCTAATTGGTCACTATCCCCTCTGATTTGAAATCCAGAGCTCAAAGGTCAACCTAACATGGAACAAGTGAGGCTCTCCTCCCCTCCTTCCTTATTGTTTCCCTATTCCCTCTGGGCTTTCTTCTTCACTTTTTAAATGAGAGGGATCCTTCCCTTTATTCTATAAATTTATACCTTCTGCAGCTCCCAGTCCACTTATTCTATGGAAATGTGCCTACTGCTGTTTCCAGCTCCCATATTCTATGGAAATGTACCATTTGCAGCTCTGTAGCCCTGTGCTTTTTCCATGGACCCCTTAATTACTCAAATTTCCTAAACCTGCCTATTTCACCCCTAAAAACTCCTATTTTACCCCTAAGAACTCCTTTCAGTACAGTTTAAAGTTATAAAGAGAGTAGTTCCTAGAAGTTCTCATAACAAGGAAAAACAAAGGTTTTTTTTTTTTTTTTTTTTTTTTTTTTTTTTTTTTAAGTATATGAGGTGATGGATGCTAACTACTTATTTTGGTAATCATTTCATAATATATGTATATCAAATCATTATGCCATACACCCTAAACTTGTAATAGTGTTGTATGTCAATTATATCAATAAAACTGGAGAAAAAAACCTTTTGCATAGAGGGATTGGCAAAATCAAAAAAGGAAAATATAAAACAAACACTGGACAGCACTAAACACATTCTGCTATTGACCTTATATTTGATACATTCTTTTAGTGGCAATATGGGTGTGGGGCACAGGTTCTTACCTCCTGTTGCACAGAGCTCTGTCCATTTGCCCATCAAATACCATGATTAATTTTATTTATTTATTTATTTTTTATCCTTCCAGCTGAATCCTTCAAGGAATTTGCTGAATTACTCAATGAAGTTGAAAATGAAAGGATGATGATGGTAGGTCACTGCCTCTGGACCTGACACCTAGATCATTGCTTATATTGGGGATTTTTCCTGTCTTCTTTGGTTAGATGGATGCTCTGTTGTTTTGGTTTTTGTCTCATGGCTTCCTGGTACTGTAAAGACAGAAAATAGATATGGTTATACTATCTTAAGCTCTTACCCTGAGAGTTTAGCATCTCAGGTAAAGAGAAATTAGTGTGGAAATGCTATTCCTATTCATTTCAGTGAGAAAGTATTTCAGAGGACACTAAACTGGACTGTTGAATAAGTTCACCAAAATTGTGGTCCTTTTGTTCTTAAGAAAATTATCTGTTTATTTCTGTCTCTCCTTCCAGAAATAATATGGGCTTTATTTACATAATAGAGGCCCGATACATGAAATTCATGCAAAGGGCTGGGCCCTTGCAGCCCAGCTTCCTCTGGAAGGTCATCCGGAAGGTCGTTCAGCTGCATGGTCTAATTAACATATTACACTTTTATTATTATAGATGATTGATTAAGTCAAATCTATTATGAAAACTTATTTCTTACATTTAAAGTTTAATTAAAATAACTTTAATAGTTACAGCAATTTTAGTTTTACAGGAAAGTACAGAGGGATTTCATACACTTCCTATAGCCCTCTACCCCTTACCACACAGTTTCCCCTATTTTTTAACATCTTGCAAGTATTATATAGTTGTTTCAATTAATGAGCCAATATTAACATAATATTATTAACTGAAGTCCATAGTTTACATTAAGTTTACTCTTTGTCTCTTTGTGTTGAAAATTCTATGAGTTTTGACAAATGGGTAACAACATGAATTCACCAATAAAGTATTATCATACAGAATGTTTTTACAAACCTAAAATGCCCATGTTTTTAACTTAGCCATCTTTTTCTCCTTCCCTTATATAAGAACACTTGGCAAACATTGATCTTTCCTTTTACTGTGTTTTATCTTTTTTAGAATGTCATATCATTGGAGTCATACAGTATGAAGCCTTTTGAGATATGCTTCTTTAACTTAGCAATATTTATTTAAAGATTGTTCATGTCTTCATATTTTCATTGCTTGGTAACTCATTTCCTTTTATCACTGATATATATTCCATTATAGGGAAGTACTACAGTTGCTTTATATTTTCACCTATTGAAAGACATCCTGATTGCTTAGAATTTTGGCATTTACGAATAAAGGTGCTATAAACGTGTGCAGATTTTTGTGCTATAAATTTTCAACTCTTTTGGATAAATTTCAAAGAATGAATTTGCCAGATTTTATGACAGTAGCAAGGCTAGTTTTGTAAGAAACTGACAAACTTTCAAAGTGACTATAGCATTTGCATGTCCACTAGCATTGAATGAGGGTTCTTGTTGCTCCACATTCTTGCCAGATTTGATGCTATCAGGTATTTTGAATTTTACCCTTTGAACACATTGCAGACTGATCATAAGAATTCTCTGGTTTTCTGTTTTAAGGCTTGTGGCCAATCATGAGAATTCTTTAAAAAGATATACTAATAAGCTTGTAAGAACATGTAATAAATTATGCAATGGTATTTAATTTTAGAGCGTGCCATTAACATTTATGTAAAATATTTTTTGTACTTGTTCAATAGAACTTTATCTGGCCACTGGGTAATGCTAGCCATAAAACTACTGGTCTGCAGTGTGTTTAATAGGTTTATAGTGAGATCTCATTGCTAGTGTAGTTTGTATTTTCCTGCTGATGTATGATGTAGAGCATCTTTTCATATGTTTATTTGATATATGTAGATCATCTTTGTTAAGGTGTGTTTGTTCAGGTCTTTTGCTCATTTCTTCCTTTGGTTGTTGGAACTTTGTGGAGGACAACAAAGAATTCTACCTTCTCTTTCCCTCATAGGGTGTCTTCCTATTGGCAGACCATTTTGTTAAGCCCATTTATTCAGATATCCAGAGTTCTTTAATCTGTAATCACTCTTCCTTTTCAACTTGTGGTACTGGCTTCTCAGAATACTGTTGTCATTTCATCTAGGCTTCTAGAGATGTAGCATTGAAGGCAGAGCTTGGAGGTAAGAGAATTAGAGACTGTTAGGGTCTAATAATGGCTGTTCCACTAATTTACTTGTTAACTTTAGATTTATCACATATTTCCCTGAGTCTCTCCTTCTTTATATGTAAAATGATGAAAATGATCTTCAACTTTAAAAGTTGTTTTAAATACTCCAAATATAATGAATATTTAAGTGTTTTATTAATATAAAAAAACACTGATTATGTGTGTTGTGTTTAGTTACCTTTTGTTGCTCCCGTGATTTTGCTTATGGAAATTTCACTTGGAAAATTTCTTAGTTCAAAATATTTGCTTCTAAGGGTACTGAAAGGCCATTATGGGTAGTTTTATTGGAATCCGGTATCTGACTTACTAACTAATCCACACTCTACTAAATATTTTTTTTCCTGCCTGAAGAGTTTATGGACTGCTGCCAAAGTTGATCTTACAGTCATTTACCCCCATTTTATTCAAATACTATTAGAAAAAGCTCAACTGTGCTCTCTTTGGCTCTTGATCTCTTATTTACCCAATTACAAAGCTCTCAAATATTGAAGTAGGATTCATCTTTTGAGATGATGTTTTTCTCACCCCTCTTGATGGCTGTTTGCCAAATGAGTGACTCATTTTCTTCTGTCTTAAATTATGTTGTGCCCTTTTGTCTCTACAACTCTTCAGTTATGTATTGAGTGTTGGCTCCCCATTTCCCATTTACCAATAATTTCATGAATGCCGTGAAGGTTAGGCTCAATGAGGGCCTTTCACAATATGCCAGAAATTCATTTCTTAACTGCACCTCTTCTGTTTCTTGGGCTCCAATACCCCAGTATGGATAATGTGGGAGATGTTAATAAGCTTTATAAAATCAATTTTGATACTTTCTATAAGAAGAGACCAAAAGAAGCTTTAGAAGAACAAATAGGAAGTTCAAAGTCTTAGCATGTGACAATTGCAAATGTTCTAATCACTCTCAGGAATGAATTTAAATTGTGGAAAGAACTATGGACAGAAGAAATGAAAAGGAGCACCCCAGCTGTGATTTCTTAAACAGTACCCTAGGGGAGGTTGTTGTACCTTAGAAGGTGACCTTTAGCAGTCTGAATGACAGCCTTCCTGTATGGTTAAAGATAGGAGGTTTGCCTAAATGCATTTATGACTCTGAAGGGCACTTTATAGGCAGTGTGCAAGGTCTGTCTTTGAGGACTGTCAAGCATAATTTAAAATGGCCCATGATATTTAAAACAGTCTGTTCTATATGCCTTCTTTTGGTAATTGGTTAACCATCCAAGATTCCTAAACAGTTTTGCACTACTGGATTGAATACCATCTCTATTTTGCTAACTGCCCTATCTAGTGTTAATATGTGCTTCATTCAATAGAAACCTGATTAGTTATACTCACTAATATGTTTAGCATGTCACTTATTATTCTGGGGATTCTACCCTTAGATAACAGGTAGGAACTTTTCTCCTAGAGAGCTCACAAAATGGATGCAGTGATCACAAAGGGACAGCATTTATGAATTGTTGCTAGATTTCTTCTTTTTAGAATTAATTTATTTTCTAATTACAGTTGATAGAGAATAAGTAGTTGCTATAATTTTAAGTTATTTAAGGATAAAACAGAATGAAAAAGAAAACAGAAACAAGCTTCAGTGTGACCTTTTCATACATCTCTAGCTCTGTGTTTTGGCAGAAAGTAGCAAAATAACCAATTAATGTCAAAGAGATGAAGAGGTTCAGAGTATTTATTTGTTTTGTAGGAGACTGGCAGCAATATTGGCAATGTGATTAAGGGAAAACTATAGACTCCAATTTTGGTGAATCATGCACTACATTATAGACTGAGACAGGCCAAACATATAAAAAGCGGTAGCCTTATGGGTTGGTATGACACTTGCTTATGCAACAAAATGCCTCTTGGAACATAAAAAAAAAACAAAAAAAAAAAACAACCTGAATACCTATTTACATATGCCAGGGCTCACCTGAATGAATACTCCTATAGCAGCTTGACACATGCTACTCTCTTTAGAAGTGGCAAGTCTCACAGTATCAATTCTTCTGTACTCTGTTGTTTCCATGCAGTAACAAATCCATCATATTCAAGGTAGGGGACAGAGACCTAACCTCACAATGAGAGGAGTGTCACAAAATTTTTTGGCCATGTTTTCAAATCTCTACATAGTTCAAAAAATGACTCCCTGCACTGAATCTGACACCAAGACTTAATTTGTTTCCATGTGGACATACAAAGTTAATAGCACATAATCCATAATCCACAGAAGTATAGAGCATGTGGGGCAAGAGTGACAGCCTGGTACTTTTAGTCGAACAATTCTTGTTTTTAATCAAGAGTCACTGGTGTCTTTATTTTTTGTACCAGAGCAAGCTGGTAGAGCTCTTTGATTGGATAAAAGTTTGTCCATTTAATTGAACCTTGACTTATTCCTGGATATAAAACAGGAGATCCAAAGTACCTGTAGTGAAGCATCCATCTTATATAAAAACTGCTGTTTGAAATTTAAAAATATATATATTTTATTGATTTTTTTACAGAGAGGAAGGGAGAGGGATAGAGAGCTAGAAACGTAGATGAGAGAGAATCATTGACCAGCTGCCTCTTACACACCCCTACCGGGGATGTGCCCGCAACCAGTGTACATGCCCCTGACTGGAATCGAACCTGGGACCTTTCAGTCTGCAGACTGACGCTCTACAGCTGAGCCAAACCGGTTTCGGCTGCTGTTTGAAATTTTAACCCTGCTATTTTGGCTTTTGTAAACACTTGCTTGCTTAAATAATAAGGAAAATAAGACCACTCCCATTGCAGAGAGGCCATAAATCTTCTCTGGATGAAGTTATCGGTTATGGTGCCAGGCCAGGTCTTTGGTTGAGGTCTCAAAGCCCCAGCACATAGGGCTATTTAAGAACTTGCAAATAGGTTCAGACAAACCCTTATTTTGGAGACAAA